TACGCCCCTTTGGAATTCCCAAGGAAGAACACAATAAGAAGGACGTAACTTTGGAATCCACCCGGAGGGGGGTTTACTGTGTACAAAGCCCGCAGTTGCTTTCTCGGGTGGCAGTTGCCGCTGGTTGATCTCCAGCGCTCTGTTGTCCCATCCTGGGGGTTAGGCCCGACAATGCAACCGGACTGGCAGCAACCTCGCAGTGCGTGTGTGCAACTCACTGTCTGAGAGGTAACAGTGGCTTCTATGAAATTGTCAGCCCTAAAAGAACTACGACCACTTAAGCACGCGCGCCTCCGTATCCTGTAAAGTGGTTAAGGTCATCGCGAGTAGGCGGACAGAGCGAAGAAAGAAAGATAATCTGCTAGGCTCAGCACCCCAGAAAAGCCTCCGAAGTTGCGCGAATTTGGTCAGGGTAAAATCCTAACAGTACGCACTGTTACAGTATCAAAGCCCTGTTACGCCAAGGGTGAGTGCACTGTAATAAAGTACTTTTCCTGCCAATTAATGTGACCTAAAATGAGGCAGCGAAGACAAAAATGACTCCCTATAATTTTCGCTTTTTCAGATGTCAATGATGAAGTTCAATATAAGAAACAAATACCAAGGTAGATTTATTCAATGAGCACGGGTAATAGAGAAAGAAAGAATAAAACCGTATTTGTGCAGCGTTGAAACCAGTTCAAACAGCCGGAGGGGCTTTAGCAAAGCTACATCTCTACAAACAGCCTTGCAGACCACATAAAAATGAACACAAGGGAGAAGGCATTAGTGGCTGTGCTGGTAGGATGTTCTTTTGATAGACGCCTGTTGTAGCCAGCGTTAGCAGCTGTGTCGACGTGCTTGATTTCTGGTGGAGGCTTCCTGTTTTCAGCGTTCCCAAAAGTGTTGACAGGCTGGGTTTCTAACGCAGGCCTCTTGTAGTCAGCGTTATCATCTCTAACGTCAGCCTGGTCATCCACCGCACAGTTCAAAAAATCAGGGCAAATTTTTAATGCGAACTTTTTTCCGCTTCCGTCTTCATTTGCTGCGAACTGCAGATAAAATGGTTCACTTTGCATTGGTCCATTAAGCTGGATGACAGTTTG